AACTTTCGAGTATCTAAAGATCAACACCATTTACAGTTCAAATTACAAGAGTTAATATTCACGTACCATAGTTCGCCGTTTATGGCCAAGCTGCAAGAATCATCGGTTCGTGGTTCAATATCCAACATAGCTTGGGGAAAATCCGCGTAAAGTTCAAGAGGATTGTTTTGATGGCAACCAAATGAGCGACGTTATCTCCAGGTGAGTACTGTTACTACATTCTCAAGGGTCTATCTCGAGAGTCTCAATTCGTATAAAAAGCGCGCACGTTTTCCATACTTCACTTTACTTTCGTAAGTTGACCAGGTATTGACACACCATGAAGCTCTTCGCTATCCTCTTCTGCCTCATCGCTTGCAGTTTCGCCACTCCCATCCAAAATGAACGTTTTACATTGGATGCTGATATGCTGAATGGTTTAATGAACATGTACATTCGTGTTTTCAAAGCCATGGATCCGCTCTACTTAAAGAACGCGAAATTGTTTGAGTCAAATGGGTAAGAGTTAATGTTCAATGACTTAAGGTCGATTGTAATGGAATTGTTATTTCAGATATGTCTTCGAGGTGAAGAACGCAATCATGGAAGGCTTCTCAGACATCACACACGATATCTCGTTAGAGAAGAACGCTCCAATAACAACAGTCAAAGTCTCCATGAGCCTACCCAGAACATTTGGATCCGTTGAACTATGGAATAGCACATTGCCCTTGATTTACGGAAGCGGTAGCGCGACGTAAGCCAGACAGCAATGTCACCTATTACTCTCTACATGAATAAACTTTTAGGTTTGATCTCAGACGTGTTCAAGTCGTGATGGAAGTCGGCTTTAACATGACCACGATGTTGTTTGAACGAGTCGTGTTCAAACCTTTCACTGAAGAAGTTCATTTTGAAATCACCGGTGTCAATAATGACGAAGAGTACAGTCGAGAATTCAGCAAAAATGTCAGAGATGCGTTGAACGTTCTGGTGAACGATCCAGAAATGCACGCCTTTGTTGCTGAGAAAATTACTGCTTTTTTGAATGGCCAATACCGTTCTTCACTGCCCACCGATTGCTGGTGGTGCCCGCTCCTTAGAGTACACTAAGGTCTAACTTTTGTAATGTAATAATTTATTTTAATTTTAAGAAAGACTTTCTGCAAAATAAACTTGCTACTTAATTTGGTCGTAGTTCATTTTCCCTTCAGATGTAACTTGAATGACCTGCCGGTCAGGTTCTGGGACGTGACGAGCTTTAAACGTACGTAGAAAGCTTAAATGTTTACCAAACGTCACAAAAAGGCAAAAGCAGGCTTTGTTCTGATGGCCTTGTAAGCTTTAAAATGGTCACTCTGTATTTTCCCATATTGAAGATACGTGCTATTGTGTCTCATAAATCAAATTTTCAGGCGTTTTTAACGATTAAGTAGTGTACAATGGTGTTGTAGAGATTTGTAAACTATTCTTCAGTCTTTTAGAGTCTTTAATACCTGCAAAGGCATTCAAAAACCCTCAACAGTTTTCAAGAGTCTACAATCCTTGAAGTTCTACTGGTATTTAGGTGTATTTAACACTCTTCATGAGTCATCCCATGTTTTCAATGTTTCCACCATCTTAAAGAATCTTTTAGTCTTTCACGATCTTTAAGGTTCATCTCTAAGTGGATTTGAAATCTAGAGGTCTTCAAAACGCATCCAAAAGCTTCTAAGGGGTAATCTCTTGTGTTCCAGTTAAGTAGCATCATTGAATAAAAACATTTTTATTCAATGGTAGCATATACTATGGTCTCCATGGATCTTTAGCGTATACAAGAGGCTCCTAGGATTTTATATCTATATTCTTTAATAGTATTTAAAATAGTTTAAGGGTCTTTTATGTATCAGATAAAGTTATCCCCCTTTTCCTACCTCCTTTTACATACATTTGCTTCCATGGTAATTAACTGTCTGGTAGATGTAACTTAAATCCGGGCTTTTCGCTAGTCTTCGTGTGCCTCCAAATGTTGTCGAGTTTCGGTATGATCTAATCTATCTATATTAAGAGCCTCTATTTAATTTCTAGAGTTTTTGAAGGCCTTTAAGGGTGAAAATCCATAACACACTTCGAAGACTTAATAAATTTTCCCGAAACCTTTTAAATGCCATGAAACACATTTCAAGAGATTTTAGTATCTGCCATAGATCTCCAAAAACCTTTGAGAGTTTTCCGATCGTGTTTAAGAGAACCTTAACAATCTTTAAACACTTTCATGGACTTTTAAGGGATTCAAAGCCATGAAAAACTTTTCTTAGTTTCTAGTGGTACATTAAAGTCGCATACAGTCATGAAAAATCACCAAAAACCTCCAACACCCTCTTACTGCTTTAAACCGCCAATAAGCTCTAATGGTCTCCAAGAGACTAATTTAGAACCTTGAAGGTCATTTGATAACCTCTAAATGAGTCTAATAATTTTAGGCTCGGGGGCTCTGGGGACAGGTTGCTTTGGATACAAATTCACTTTGTCCGTCCGTCCGTCCGTCCGTCCTCTCGTTTTGCGACGCTACTAGTTCTTTATCTTAAGAGCTATTGTTCTACTTTTTTCGCTATTTGGTTCGTTATGGTGTCGAGTCTTGCACCAAGGAAGGATTTTTTTCTGTACCGCTTACAAAAAAAGTTATTGTAAAAAAAAACAAAAAACCGTTTTTTACATGTTCCATAATTTTACACTTTTGCCGTTTATTAGCGATCCTAGAGATCTTTTATAATTTTGTATTGCTGTCTGTCGTCTGTCTGTTGGTCTGTTCCTTTGTCTGTCTGTCCCTGTATCTGTCCGTGTGAACGATAACTTTGTTTAGAAATGTCCGATCGCTTTTACATCTCCGTTAGTTATTAACTGAATTGCATGAAATTCAATATGGGCATAGCTTTAGCCATATAATACGCAATGCCAAAAGTTGAGTCGAATCGATTCAAAATTCACAGTGCCCTTTTCGCATCTCGACCATTTATAAACCGAATTGCAAACTTTTTTAATTATAAAAGTATTTAAATGAAATTTGATACATAGGTGCTTGGAATAAAGGAAAATCTAGCGCCAGTTTCAAAATTTTATTTTGCACATGCGCAGTGCCAACCTTTTTATCTATGGAAGCATTTAAGTGAAATTTGATATTTAGGCGCTTGGAACAAAGGAAAATCTAACATTAGTTTCAAAATTTAGGTTTGCGCATGCGCAGTTCCAACTTTCTTATTTAGAAAAGCATTGAAATTGAGTGGCGGGTAAGGGATGATCTACCTATATTTGACGCACATGTTAATGCATGGGTTAAAGTGCTAATATATTTGACTTTGAATCACGAACTTTGAACTTTAAGAGTTTTTCAGATGACATTTTAAATCTTTACTTAAAACTTGAACCATTAACAACTGAATCTTGGCCATGGACCACGAATTTGAAGCGTGACCATTAAACCTTGATCCTTAAACTCTAAATGAATTTGAAAAAAGTCTCTGGTTTAATTTGAATCCCGGTTCAAGGTATTTACATTGCAAAGAAATATTAGCAAAGTATTGCGGAATGATGCATATCAGCACAACATTCATGTACACACTAATTTCGTCGGGAAAACGGCAAAAACCTAAGACTTGACGCACAGGAATTTTGTGCTCTTCCTATCTTGCTCTGTCCGGTTCATAGAGCAAGATTACCTTTTATGCACTAATTTTCTACGCCCATTAAAAGAAATTCTGCGGACCCATTCAGCAACTCAACATAAACAGTTACGTTAGTCCCTTCCTTGGTTGTGCCTACATATTAACATGGACGATTAACTTTTTTTTAGATTGGGAACAATTCCTTTGGTTAACCAAAATCTCCAACTCGGAACCGCGTGAGCGGTTATTTCGGGTTGGGTGGTGTTGGTTATCCCGCACATCCGTCATTAACTATAATGATTTCGTCTTCTCTTGTGTTACTTTCCACTTCGAGCGTACCCTCTCTGTTCCATTTCTCCTCCTCGATGCACATCATTTTGATACTGTTATGCAGCGTCAAAACGACCCCCACTGCTACCTCAAGTCCGTCCCTCTAGTGGCTGTGGCTCTAGTGGGACTGGAAGAAAAGATGCTCCTTGCCGTATCTCATTTGACAGTCGAGGCAAAGGCCATCCCTGCTTTTCCCTAACTTGTGGAGGTAACAACTAAAACTGAGTAAGCGGGTAGTTTGCCTCCCCTTGCGCTCAACCTACTTACCCACACTCGTAATCAAGATGAGGGTTCCAGATTTCCTGCCACCCTGAACCCATTCCTCGAGCTCCCGGGTCCTACTCCACTTTTTTGCTTTAACCTCCACCATGATCCTCGCAGGTGCAATATGAGCGATCACTAAAAAATCGTCATTTTCGGCAGTGCTATAGCGTATTTATGTGGTTTGCAGCGACGTCGTGGTCTAGCACCACCGCATTAGTAAGGACCTTTCGCTTCGATCTGCATAGCTTATCGCTTTATCACTCAATTATTTTAAACAAAACATCGGCGTATTTGTATGATAAAATAACTTACAGAATAGATGTTAATAATTTAAATGTGAGGTTTAGGGGATTGATAAGTCCACCATTACACATACATCTTTCTTCGAAAGATGCTTCACTTTTAACATCTACAAAATTCTATAACCCTCTCCCAAATTCTCTAAACTCGAAACATCTAAAACAATTTAAACGCATGCGCAAGTCGATCATGCTAGAAGCTCAGATATTATATAGTGGTCAGGTAGTGTGCTTCTTTTTTTTCTTGTTACATAACGCATGCAACTAATTTTATAGCATTGTGTGATCATTTAAACAATTATTACGGGTTGAGTGGAAGAGCAGCGAGTAATTTTTATTACAAGCTGTACTCCACCATTCGCTCGATTGTACGTTTAGACCTCGTCAATGTTGCTAAAGCTGACAGGTAAGTATCCAAGTTAAAGATTTGAAAGTAAATTATATAAGTACTTTTTAAATAACTTTTTTTATTAGTAAAAAACCTTCCTTAAAAATAAGATAAATTAAATTATTACATTCATTAAATTAGATCTTAGTATGTTCTGATTAATGGGCACCACCAGCAACCCCTGGGTGGAGAAGAACGGTACTGGCCATTCAAAAAAGCAGTAATTTTCTCAGCAACAGAGGCGTGCACTTCTGGATCGTTTACCAGAACTTCCAACGCTTGTCTGACTTTTTGACTGAATTCTCGACTGTACTCTTCGTCGTTATTGACACCGGTCATTTCAAAATGTACTTCTTTAATGGAAGGCTTGAACACGACTGGTTCAAATAACATCGAGGTCATGTTAAAGGTCACTTCCATCACGACCTGAGGACGTCTGAGGTCAAACCTAAAAGTTTATTAATGTAAAAGAGTAATAGACGACAATGCCGTTTGACTTACGCCGCGCTACCGCTTCCGTAAAATAAGGGTAAACTGCTATTCCAGAATCCAACATGTCCAAATATTCTGGGTAGACTCACGGCGACTTTTACGGTTGTCAGTGGAGAGTTCATCTCGAAGGACATACCGTGTGTGATGTCTGAGAAGCCTTCAACGGTTGCCCTCTTCATCTCGAAGACAACGCTGAAATATCAATTCCATTACAATCGATTTTAGTCAATAAACTTTGGCTCTTACCCATTTGGCCCAAACAATTGCGCTTCTTTTACGTAGATTAAGCCATTCCGCATATCAGCATCCAATGCAAAATGTTCATTTTGGATGGTGGCGGCGAAACTGCAAGCGATAAGGCAGAAGAAGACAGCGAAGAGCTTCATGGTGTGTCAATGGTTGATCAACTCACGAAAGTAAAGTGAAGTGTGGAAAACGTGTGCGCCTTTTATACTAAATGAAGCTCTCAAATTGGACACTTGAGATTGTAGGCATTCGCCTTAGATAACGCCACCAAATGATTGCAATGAAAATTTTCCTCTTGAACTTTACGCGAGTTTTCGACAGGCTACGTTGGATACGGATCTACGATTGTTGTATTGGATGCGTATGCATAAGTTAGATGGAACGAGTTAATTTTCATAGGGTTTGGCAAATCTTCGAAAAGGGTAAGAGAAGGTAGCCTATTGGCGCAACTAAAGCTAATGGTTCTTGTACTTATTCCATTTTCAGAAGAACCAGAGAACACCCATACTTGAGAAGGGAACAAGCAATTTGGGAAAGGTTTACGAATAGCACCTACGAAGGTTTTTAGGGAAAGGTTTTTTTACGGACGTGACTGCCCTATGGGTCTGAAAAAATCATGATGATGTGACCTCTGTCAGATATAGTTTGGTAGGGCTCAGCATCAACAAATCCACGCATCGTAACATAGTTGCCCAAAGCAACAACATCAACTGAATCGCACGATGACTGTTTATCTACCTATCTGAAGTACCATACCGTCTAGTCTCCTTTACGTATTGAAAACGTTGGTCGTTATCATGGGGTCAATAGTCAGTCTAAGTGACACAGTACATTTGGAGTGCTATCGTTTATAGTTTAGGATTAACCCAGTAAAAATTGATTATCTACAACTTTACTTCTTTGTGAAGAAACGAGTGAAAAGAAGTTGAATCCAGCATTTCAAAATTTGTGTCCTTTGGTTGGCTCTACATTTATATTTTACCTTACTTTCCCAAATTTCCTCTTTCTTTGGAAACTTTTTGTAACAGAGGAGCTTGACTCAAAATTCTTTATTAGGGATGTAAGGTTTAATGAATTTGTGGGCCATTTAGGTTCATGTGCTCCTCTTGAGAGCTGAAGTGTATTACCTACATATTACGTAGTACGTTGTAGTAAAAGCACTCACCTTAGAGATAACGCCGCTCATTTGGTTACAATCAAAACATTTCTCTTGAACTTTACGAGGATTTTCGACAGGCCACGTTAGATTTTGAACCACGAACCGCCGAGTCTTGAAGCTTAGTCATGGACCATGAATTTGAAGCGTGACAAACGTAAAATGATCTTGATCCTTAGATATTCCAAACTCTGTAAAGGAATTCAAACAAATTTTCTGGTTTAATCTTAATCCAGGTTCAAGGAATCGCAAAGAAATCTGTATTATTTTCATTATTTAAAAGGAGTCATTACTATACAATGATGCCCACACGTGAGCAGAACATCTGGTTATGCACTAATTTCTTCGGTGAAATGGCAAAAAACGTTGCATTGATGTACAGGAACTAAATTGTATTTTGGACACCTGACGTGAGATCTTTAGCGTATTTTTTAAATAAAAAATGTGCTACTGTTTACATTTTGTCCGTTTCTCCATCCGTCCTTTCGACCGTCCATTCATCCATTAGAGAAATTGTTCTGGTTCTGTTTATTTTTGCAATATGTAGTCACATTACGGCCATTGTTTTAATTAAATCCCCCATATGCTACCTGGTGATGCCGGTACTTCTATCTTCATCATTACAGTTAACGTCACTGCCCAAAAATTTGCACTTGGAACCTGGATTCAGATCTACCCAAACTTTCGAGTATCTAAAGATCAACACCATTTACAGTTCAAATTACAAGAGTTAATAATCACGTACCAAAGTTCGCCGTTTGTGGCCAAGCTGCAAGAATCATCGGTTCGTGGTTCAATATCCAACATAGCTTGGGGAAAATCCGCGTAAAGTTTAAGGGGATTGTTTTGATGGCACCCAACTGAGCGACGTTATCTCCAGGTGAGTGCTGTTACTACATTCTCAAGTGTCTATTTGAGAGTCTCAATTCGTATAAAAAGCGCACACGTTTTCCATACTTCACTTTACTTTCGTAAGTTGACCAGGTATTGACACACCATGAATCTCTTCGCTGTCTTCTTCTGCCTCATCGCTTGCAGTTTCGCCACTCCCATCCAAAATGAACGTTTTACATTGGATGTTGATATGCTGAATGGCTTAATGAACATGTACGTTCGCCTTCTCAAAGCCATGGACCCGCTCTACGTAAAGCAAGCAAAATTGTTTGAGTCAAATGGGTAAGAGCTAATGTTCAATGCTTTAAGGTCGATTGTAATGCAACTGTTATTTCAGCTACGTCTTCGAGGTGAAGAACGCAATCATGGAAGGCTTCTCAGACATCACATACGATACCTCGTTAGAGAAGAACTCTCCAGTAACAGCCGTCAAGGTCTCCGTGAACCTACCCAGAACATTTGGATCCGTTGAACTATGGAATAGCACTTTGCCCTTGATTTACGGAAGCGGTAGCGCGACGTAAGCCAAACGGCATTCTCATCTATTACTCTCTACATTAATAAAGTTTCAGGTTTGATCTCAGACGTGTTCAAGTCGTGATGGAGGTCGGCTTCAACATGACCTCGATGTTGTTTGAACCAGTCGTGTTCAAGCCCTCCATTAAAGAAGTACAGTTTGAAATCACCGGTGTCAACAACCACGAAGAGTACCTACAGTCGAGAATTCAGCAAAAAAGTCAGAGATGCGTTCAATGTTCTGGTGAATGATCCAGAAATGCACGCCTCTGTTGCTGAGAAAATTACCGCTTTTTTGAATGGTCAGTACCGTTCTTCACCGCCCACGGATTGCTGGTGGTGCCCATTCGTCCGAGCATACTAAAATCTCATATTCTAATGTAATAATTTATCTTAATTTTAAGAAAATATAATATCACTTTAAAAGAATCATACCTATTGTTTAATTTCCTTCGAAATCCAAAACCATTTTAAGAGAGACGCTTAAAGGCTTAATCTTAATTCTTCTTATTTTTTATTCCTTTAGGGTCTTGGGGCGTCTTTCAGATCCTTCAGATTTTTCACATTTTTCAAATTCTTCAGATTTCAGCAACATTTAAACCTAAACTATGTTTGTTTCAAGAATATTCGAAAAAAGAACAAGAAAAATTAAACGATATATACTATGAAGGTTTCAAGAAAATTTGAAAAAGGTTATTCAAGCATATTGCCATATATTCGGGATTCCTCTTTGGATTTTTTGAATTCTTCGGATTCCATGGATTTAATCAAATTCTTCGAATGCGTCGAATTCTTTGTATTCTTCAGGTTTTTTAGGAACTTCGGGTTCTTCAAATTACTCTCCAGATTTTTCGAATCATTCGGATGCCTCGCTTCTTTCAAATTTTTCAGATTCTTTCGTTATTGTGGATTTAATCGGATATTTCGGATGCTTCAAATTTTTCAGATCTTTCAGATTTTTCAGATTTTTAAAATTCTTCAGATTTTTCGTAGAAACTAGAAACTTAGAAACTAGAAACTAGAAACTAGAAACTTAGAAACTAGAAACTAGAAACTAGAAACTAGAAACTAGAAACTAGAAACTTAGAAACTAGAAACTTAGAAACTGGAAACTTAGAAACTGGAAACTTAGAAACTGGAAACTTAGAAACTGGAAACTTAGAAACTGGAAACTTAGAAACTGGAAACTTAGAAACTGGAAACTTAGAAACTAGACTTAGAAACTAGACTTAGAAACTAGAAACTTAGAAACTAGAAACTTAGAAACTAGAAACTTAGAAACTAGAAACTTAGAAACTAGAAACTTAGAAACTAGAAACTTAGAAACTAGAAACTTAGAAACTTAGAAACTAGAAACTTAGAAACTAGAAACTAGAAAGAAACTAGAAACTAGAAAACCTAGAAACTTAGAAACGTAGAAAGTTAGAATCTTAGAAACTTAGAAACTTGGACACTTGGAAAATCGGAAACTTAGAAACTCGAAACTCGGAAACTCGCCACACGAAATTCGGAATTCGAAATTCGAAATTTGAAATTCTAAATTGGAAACTGGAAATTGGAAATTGGAACCTGGAAACGGGAAACGGGAAGCGGGAAACTGGAAGCGAGAAACGACAAACGACCAACGAGACGGGAGACGGGTAACGGGTAACTGGTAACGGGCAAGCAGAAAAAGAGTTAGTTGGTCAATAATTCAGACTATGCCGCAAAAGAGGTGAATTCAAAGCGCGACAGAGAAAAAGGATTCCGTTCAAGGCCGCGGGAAAATGTGCGTTAAGCCACGAGGGCGTATTGCGTCAAGTCTTTACAAGGGAACTCGATCATCATAGAAATTTTGTATTTGTATATCGTCGGGGAAAAACTGAAATTCAGCATTCAAAGAATTCGTGAAAGAGACCAAGTTTGGGGGATTTTTAATTTAAGGTAAAAATTAGGAACAAAAAGGGTGGAATCTAAGTTGCGTGTAAAGAGGATACGAGACAGGAGGTTAGTTACGAAGGCGAACTGCGGTATAGAATTCCAACGCGCGTAAAAACCACGTGGCGTAATCCATCGCTGCCTGTAGTGATCACCTATGTGCAAATATTTTAACAACAATAACGTCTACCATCGAACCAATAAATGCATCAATCAAAAAGACCATCAGACCATTCGACAATCCGGGGAACATTGTTATCTTTATGAGTGTTTATTTAAGCTAAAATGTTCTATTGCGCATTGTGTGGTTTTTAGCGCATTTTTGCAACTTTATTTGTAAAAAGTAGCTTTTAATCTCACTTTGGCTGGCTGGCTGGCTGGCTGGTTGGCTGACTGGCTGCAAATGTGGGCGCGTAGAAGAACTCTTGTAGAAAGGCAACGGGTGTACGTGTATCTACAGGGCCGTGAAATTTGTCAACCTTAGGGACATGGCTACATGATGTTGGGTTGGCGACATCTGGGCGTCATCCTCGAGCGTAGTATACTAACGTGAAGGTTTTTAAGTTTTTGTTTTGTTTTTTGTCCTAGGGGCGAAATTAACGACCTTTTGCGAGGCGTGCGCGCGCGTCTTCGAGAAGTGGTCAACTTCGGGCGCCTTTACCTTCCGTTGCGAACTCACGCGGTTTAACGTTTCGTAAATCTCGAATCGGTGTCTCTCTTTCTCGTGTCGCCAATAGAAGCGAATTGCGGGTGAACGGAACGTCGGAAGTGGCTACCGTCAAAGGGAATGTGGTAGCCCCCGACACGATTTAAACTTTAAAAGCGAATTGCGGGTGCACGCGGAAAGTGGGAAACGGTTAGTGAATGTAATAGACTTCGACAAGATCTGTTATTGATGGTTGAGTCGAAAGTGGCTAATAGAATACTGATCTGCCACACAAAAATGCGCTGAAGTCCCTGCGATCTCACACGAGGACTTTGGTAATTTTTTTTAGATTGTTACCATTTACGCCCTCTGTGTATTTCTCGTGCAAGTTCTCGCTGTAGTTAGTTTTGTTGGTAGAGTTTTTGTTTCATAGTTCCTTTTTTTTCCGCTAGATGTCAAACAGATCTAGTTTCTATGGTTATAAAATTTCCTTTTCTTTGATCTTCTGCGAGCGCACTCCCTGTACTGAAAACAGATTCGATCGTGACTTGTAAGACAGAATTTCACCCCAAAAACCAGTATGTACAAATATCATTTAAAAAATGGCACTTTTTGTTCATTTTCTCAGATTTTTATTGCACAAACCTTTGAATATAAAACAGTATAATCAAAGTCTGAACACTTATTCCCTAACGCTAAACTCATTCTGTTATCTAAAAGAATTAGAAAGAAGAGACTTGTTAATGGCCGCTTACTATTTTCAAACAGAAATTAAGGGTTTAGCTTGGGCACCACCAACACTTCTTTGGTGGGAAGGAACGGTATTGGCCATTCAAAAAGGCACTAATTTCCGCTGCCACGGATGCGTGCATCTCTGGATCGTTGACGACAACGTTCAACGCATGGTTGACCTTGTTGCTGAGTTCTTGACTGTACTGTTCGTTGTGGTTGACACCGGTGATTGCGAACTGTGCGTTTTCAATGGAAGGCTTGAAGACGACTGGTTCGAACAGCATGGAGGTCATGTTGAAACCGATTTGCATCATGAACTGAACATTTTTGATATCGAAACTGAAAGATCATTGTTTTAGGGGATGAAAAATAGAAATGCCGTTTGGCTTACCTCAAGCTTCCGTTTCCGTAAATCAAAGGCAAAGTGGTATCCCAAAGTTCGACAGCTCCAAAGGTTCTGGGAAGGCTCATGTTGACGTTGAAGGTTGAGAGAGGATAGCTCAAGTTGTAGGAGATGCTGTGCGAGATGTTGGAGAAGCCCTCAGCGTGTACGTTCTTTACTTTGAAGTAGATTCTGAAATGACAACTATGTAAAGACGATTAAGGAGTCACAGCCGGAGACTTACCCAATGACGTCGAAGAAGGTTTCCTCCTTGATGCTGATCGGATCGATTTCCTTGAGGAGCCCAACGTAGGCGTCCACCATTTCATTGAGCAGGATGGAATCAATTTCCACACGTTCATTTTTGACCGAGATGGCAGAGCAGCAGGCGATGAAGCAGAAAAAGATAGCGAGGAATTTCATGGTGTCAACACTAAATCCACGAACGTAAAGTAACTAGTAAAACATCATTGTGCCTTATATACCTACCCGTCGAAAATCTTCGATGGGAGCACTTGAGATTAACTTACCGAAAATCTGGATATCTTTGCACCCACTTCAAACCATAGATTACCAAGTCTCGTTAGATACAAACTCGCGATTGTTGCGAACCGAATATGTCTACGTCTGGTTCTAGTCTTCCATCTTGCTCCCTTTTTTACTGCCTCTCCAGTTTCTTCCACTTATTCGACATTTTTCCTAAAATTCATGGTATATTTTATGGATATCGGATTTTCTGCTGCATCGACATTTGACCCATTCTATCCTTCTCCACTTCGCAGCGGTTTCCAGCCAGTCCAATATTTGGTTTCCAGTTTCCATTTTCCAGTTCCAGCAACATTGACCTGATTGCTTCCAGTCCACCTTCCAATTCACAGTATTTAAAATAAAGCCTCCAGGTTCCAGGATTCAGATTTCTTGATTCCAAATTCCGATATTCCCCGATTACAATTTTTATATATCTACTAATTCTTAGATTCCGTTCTCCAATTCCTAAACTTAATTACTTAATTCCAGTTTCCAGATTCCAGTTTCCAAGAATCGGAGCATCGGTTCTCTCGGTTTTATCCGCTTTTGGTTTTACCTAATGTTGTGGATAATTTATCGTATTCGGCTTTTACCTCTCCTTCGCTTTATTTAAGTCGTTCTGCTCTCTCTCTCTCTCTCTCTCTCTCTCTCTCTCTCTCTCTCTCTCTCTCTCTCTCTCTCTCTCTCTATCTCTCTTTCTTTAGTTTTCTAGGTTCCAATTTATAGATTCCAGTTTCTAGTTTCCAGATTTCAGTTTCGAGATTCCAGTTCCAAGATTCCAGTTTCCAGATTCCAGTTTACAAATTCCAGTTTCCAGATTCCAGTTTCCAGATTCCAATTTCCAGATTCCAGTTTCCAGATACCAGTTTCCAGATTCCAGTTTCCAGATTCCAGTTTACAGATTCCAGTTTACAAATTCCAGTTTACAGATTCCAGTTTACAGATTCCAGATTCCACTTTCCAGACAACAGTTTTCAGATTCCAGTTCCCATATTCCAGTTTCCAAATTCCAGTTCCTAGATTCCAGTTTCCAGATTCCAGTTCCTTGATTCCAGCTCCCAGATTCCATATTCCAGTTTCCAGTTTTCAGATTCCAGTTTCCAATTTCCAGATCCCATTTTCCAGATTCCAGTTTTCAGATTCCAAATTTCAGATACCA